ATGTAGAAGAGTGGGAAACAGAGGAGAGAAGAAAGATGGGAAGAGAGGGATAGGAGAGAGGGTAAGGGGGGAAGAGGAGGAGGATAAGGAGGAGTGGAATGAAGAGAAAGGAGAAGGAGAAAGGAAAAGGAAGTAGAGTAGAAAAGGATGATGGTGGGAAGAAAGGATGTAGAAGAGTGGGAAACAGAGGAGAGAAGAAAGATGGGAAGAGAGGGATAGGAGAGAGGGTAAGGGGGGAAGAGGAGGAGGATAAGGAGGAGTGGAATGGAGAGAGAGGAGAAGGAGAAAGGAAAAGGAAGTAGAGTAGAAAAGGATGATGGAGGGAAGAAAGGAGGGAGGAGAGAGGCAGAAGAAAGAGGTGTATGGAGAGCAGAAGAGCTAATAATGGGTTTTTATCTTTCTGGGCGTTGATGACAAGAGGAACTGATGTAATTACTACTTGACACAATAGGATATTGGCTATGTAATAGTATACATGTGATTATATGTTATGAAAATGGAAAATAAAAAAAAGTCTGTTCAGAAAAAATAAATTTCCTGCTCAGGCAGGAAACCCTCTATCATTTCAGAGAAATGGCTCCCTGGCCCCTTCTTAAAACCCTCCGGTGATGAGGCACCCACCCCACACCCCAAGTGAGAAGCCGTTCCCACTCTCAGGAAATCCCTCCCGAGTTCTGGGTCGCTTCTCTCCTGGTTTAGCTTCCCTCCATTGCTTCTCGTCCTGCCTTGGGGAACAGGCTGCCCGCCCCCCCAACTCTATTTCTTGGGCAGCCAAGTGGGTTTCCCTTGGCAGGACCAGCTCCCTTGACTGAAAGTGGAATTGCAAAGCTGTGGGAGTAGCTTCAACGGAGGGCCTCAAGGGAGCAGGCGGGAGGCTGGTCCCTCCCAGGGACCTCATGGGGCTCCTCTTCCCCCTTCCTGTTGCAGCATCCGGGTACCTGGGTGACCCTGGCAGCTGCCACCACTTCAGAAGACCATCTGGAGCAGATAAGGAATATGCCGGCATTTGCTACTGATGTGTCAACACCACAGGAAGACTTCTTTAGCATTACAGTCTATCTCCCCATGTAAGTATCCCAGCTCAAGCCAAGCCCTTGTGGACCGACTCTGCAATGCACAGGCAGGCCCATCCCAAGAGCCCCGCAGGCCGGAAGGGTGGGTTTCTGAGGCAGTTGGAAGGAGGAGCACGTTGGGCTTGTCCTACGAAGCCAAGGCTGACTTGGAGTAAGGGGCAGCCCCATGCCAGCGCCACAGAAAGCCCGGCTAGCTTAGAAGGAAGACCGAAGGCATCTGTTGAGGTTCTTCAGCCACTGACACCAATACTCTGACCCGGTTGTGATTCTGAAATGCCTCACATTAGCAGGACACCGGTCTGGCAGGTGCCCCAAAGACTACAATGTCAGAAAGAGAGGTTGGGACTGGGCAGCCGGGCTCACTCCGGCAGATGGAAATGCTCAACCATCTGGCTTCCTTAGCAACAAGCCTTTGGCCGAACGGAGGGAGGCAGAAAGAGGCCTCTGGGAAGCCCACCGCCAGGGATAGTGAAGCCCAGATGGCTATAGCTCGGGGGGGGGGCTTCCCACTCTGTTGGACAACCTAGGAAGGCTTCCTCCATAGGTCAGTTCCGATCAACGTTTGGCGGTGGGACTCTAGGCCGTCTAGGGCAGGCAGCCTCCCCTCTCACTCCCAATGAAGAGCTCTCTCCACTTTTTCTTCTGCAGGCCAGACGGGTGCAAGAACGCAACCTACCAGCTCAGAAGAAACAAAGAAAATGGAAAATATATCTTCAAATCTGGTCTGTACTGGCTTCCCTTTCTACCTGCCTGATTCGCTCACCTGTCAAAACTGGGCCCCTGGGGAGGCCTTCTTCCTTTGCCCTCAACTCCAGCAAGGAGATGCTGGGCAGGAGATGCTGGGCAAACCCGTAGCATCTCTTCCAGTGGGGAGGGGTGGGGCCAGGATTCCTGCTCTCTCGGGACCGCCTCTCTCCAGGCTCGTCGGCCTCTGGGGGATGAGGCCCGCATCAAGGGATCTGGGGCCTGGGGCCACTGCAGGCCAAGTCCATCGGTCAGCGGATTGAGAGATGGAGACTGCCTCCATGGGGGAGCCACGGCTGGAGGTTTTTGAAACTGGACCACCTGTTGCCTCAAATGGGCTTGGGCGAGAAGACCTCCAAGGTCCCTTCCAACTGTGTTATTCCGCCACGCTGGCCTTTCCAAGAACTGCAGTTGCTCCTTCCTAGACAGTATACATTCTAAATATTTTTAAGCCGTATGTAATCTCGAAATATAAACCTTCCCTGCCTATCCATCGTTTCCATTGAAAAGATTGGGGAGCCTTGACTCCCCTGATTCCTGGTGTGTGTGTGTGTGTGTGTTTGTGTGTCCCAGTGGGAGGGAAGGGGGGGTGGAGGGGGGGGGAAGGTGAAATAGCAGCTTGGATTGTCCCTAGTACATGAATCACAGGGCTCCCATTCATCTCCATTCTTGGAGGACCCAAGGAAGCCGAAGGCTGGAAGCAGTGGTGGGTTTCAAATTTTTTTTGAACCTACTCTGTGGGTGTGGCCTCCTTTGTGGGAGTGGCTTGCTGGCCATGTGACCTGGTGGGCGTGGCTTGCCGGCCATCTCTCTCTCTCTCTCTCTCTCTCTCTCTTTCCTTTTGTCTCTGTCCCTTTTTCCTTTTTTTCTTTCATCTCTCTCTCACTTTTTCTTTATTTCTTTTTCATTTCTTTCTTTCTTCCTTTCTTTCTCTTTCTCTTTCTCTCTCTGTGTGAGTCTCTGTGTGTGTGTTTGTGTATGTTTGTGTGTGCGTCAGTGGTGGGTTTCCAAATTTTTTGGAACCTCTTCTGTAGGTGTGGCCTGCTTTCTGGTGGAACCTCTTCTAAACGGTTCGGTAGATTTGACGAACCGGTTCTACCGAACTGGTGCGAACTGGTAGGAACCCACCTCTGGCTGGAAGTAACGGGAATGTCCTCCTGCAAGGCCCCAACCTGTTTGGGATGCAGCAAGTTGCTATTTTGTGAAAAGCCCAAGTGGGGGAGAGGCTGCCCCTCTTTTCTAGGAGCCCGACATGGTGCAGAAAGTCCAACCTCCATTTCGTTAACCATGTCAAATACTACACGCTAAGGGTTAAAGGACGCTAACATTACTATTCGCTTCTAATATTTACACTGTAATTTCCGCAGTTTGATTTTATCACAACTGCACATCCTTTCCCCATAGGTACGCCTTGCTCCTCTTGCCTGTAATATACCTGAAACGCTCTGGAGAGTTATCGGAGAAGCTGTTCGGCCCAATGAGCCAACGCTGAGGTTCCAGGCCCCGAAAGGGTCGTCAGCTTGGCTAGATTTGGGCCTGCCTGATTCTGCCCCTCACGTCCCAAACCTTTCCTGGCAGGTGATACAACGGTGATAGTGGAATCGGTGAAGGTCAAAGGCAACTTCGTCATTACAACCATCAGCGTGGTGGACGCAGACAACAAATCCAAAACCACAATGCTTCACAGTAGGTGCCCCAAGGCCCATCGTCCCCGCAAGGAGGAGGCAGGCTGGGCATCGTCTTAATGCATTTCCCTAAAAGTTAAGCCTGGGGGCTTCTGGAAGAGTTCAGAGGCTGCCCAGCATTTACTGATCTGGCAAAATCCTGATACAATGGGAAACCCCTAACTAAGTCTGCCCCCATCACTCCCCTTCTGAAACATCTCCCCCCCCATTCCCCCATTCAGCCCACCCCACCACTCTCTCTGTTCCCCCCAGGCAAGGAAGTAACTCAGGATCCAGAGATAAAGCAGAAATTTGAAGACGAATGCAAAAGTCTCGGCTACAGAAAGGATCAGATTGTCTTTTTAAAACCATATGGTAAGGCAACTCAGAGCAGAAAAGTAATGAATAGGAAGGGTCAAAGACTCCGGGCGAGAAACTGGGAGGCCTGAGTTCTAGTCCTGCCTTTCGCATAGAAGTCATTGGGCAGAGTTTGCCCCCCCCCCCGTCTCTCCCTCCCGGCAAACCACAATGAAAAATGTGGCCATAAACACAGCAGGAATCTTTTCCAAGAAGTCAACTCAAAGGCAGAAATAAAGAGAGATA